CTTCACTTGATACTTTGATTATTAAACTGAAACCAATTCCATCAAAAAAAGTGATTTAACTCATATTACATACATCATTTTTAGCTAAATTTCATATTCCTTAACAGATTTAAAGCTTATATTAAAGCATTAGTCCTTTTTTTTTTTTTTTTTTGAGAAAACGTGTGGCGTAGAAAAAACCTGTTAGTTGAATAAATGTATTACATATCATGAATAATATCAATATTATCTTCATCAAAACTAAAACTCGTTGAAATTCTGGATTTAGAATTTCGTTCATTTGAAAAAGCTGTTAATTTTCCTGTAGAATCTATAATTGCCTTCACACATGGTAGCCCATATAGGACGTATCGCAGGGGGAAAAAACCTATAAAACTCAACCTTTCTGAGCAAATGTTCCAATTTTGATAACTATTTCAATTGGCTGTGATAAATTTCGTCAAAAACTTGAGCCTAAAAATGTTATAAAATACCGCATTTGCATAAATTAGGCGTAAAATAAGAAAAATGATGAAGAAATGGAAGATGTTTTATTGCTGATGATTTTTGTGGAGCTCCACTTCCCTCCCCCCCTCCCCCTCCTCCCGTATCTCTTGAACTTATCTAGATACTATACACTAAAATCGTCATTAACATTTCTTAAAATCCTAGTTTAGACTCAATTTATGAAAATCATCATAAGTTTTACTTGCTTTATAAGTAAAATATAACTTTTTGCACATGCTTATAATTAAGGCAGTATTTGTTACGTGTCGACAAAAAACCCAAAAAATCCCTTTTCAAGAAATCAACTAACATAAGTCTGCTCATTTTTTACATTTACAACTCGAACACGCATTTCCCTCATAAAAATTAATAACTAAATAAAATGCATTGATTAAATGACCACCACCACCACCAAGCAACAACCCTTGTGAGGCAAAATTTAAAATTTTTTTCTCGAATTTGAAATTTAACTATTACCGAGCACAAATTGCGGCCAATAGGTGTAGCGTTTAGCAAAAGGATATGCAAAAACCAGCGATAACGAGCTTGCACCAATAGCAACACTGAAATGAGGTAATTTAAAAAAAAAAAAAAAAAGGAAAATTACTTTTTTGAGTTCATCTGATTCGCCAAAATTGAACTCAACTGTCTAAATCCTGGTGGCAATATAAATACCAGGAGGATCAGCGGAGTGA